CTCTTGATCAACTGGTATCAGCTGAACCAAAATACAGAAATGTTCGGAAAGTTTTACCAAAAATTCCATTTGAGCAACAAATTGCTGAACAGAGGTTAACATTCTAGGTGATACAACAATTGAATTCAACTATTATTTTCGTAAAATCAGTAAACAACAAATCATAACGCATGCAACAGTTAGGTGATATCAGATTAAAAGCGAAAAGAAGATTCGATAGAGCTAAAAATGACTTGGTCAGCTTTTTCAGTCGGAATTTTTGTCGTCACTTATTGTTGAAAGGATTGAATAACAATTGGTGCATGAGCAGCGATATGAGCACACGTTCTTGTAAGGATGACAGAAGCGGTATTAAAGTAGCGATATATAGACTCGTTGCAGGCTGGCCTTGACCATACTTTCTTCAAGAGTATACCTCCGTCGTTATCAAGCAAAAAAGAACTGATACAAGGTTTTGATACGAGATTGACTCATCAACTTCATTCGCAATACCTATACCTGTAAGATCTCGTCGATAAGAATGCAGTCGAACACAATACCGTGCGGTTAAGATCACTTAATAATTAGTGTGAAGACTAGTAATAAGAAAATCCAGGATTCATGATGAACTCGTTTGGAAGTCGAGCAATCTGAAGCAGTACTCGTGCTCTTTTGCAAGCTGCAAGCAATCATTTTAACGCAGCTGAAGTGATCTTCATTAATTTCGAGTATTTCTTCTAATGCGTTTCACTGTGACGATTGTCTTATATCTCATGTGTCCTAGCAGTGTGGCGATAATTCATTGATCAGAACTTATTTGCGGAACATCGATAATTTGTCTGACTCGAAAATGTCTACACAATAAGAATTTTGTCATCGACACTGAGGCATGCAGTATAATTTGTGTTTATGAATTATGAATTAATATTTTTGAAAACTTCATATTTTCTTAATGCTAACAACAATCGATGAATGAGATCGAGTCCGCCTCAAGGTCAACTCACCAGTATTGCCAGAATGCATTTGTACAGTTAAGTGAAACGAAAAGTGAAGAGACGGCAATCATTCATTCATTTGATCACAAACCTTCTGGTTATTCAACTTCACTGAATCAACTTAAGTAGTGAGTGAATCAACTCATTCAGCAATCTACTTGAATCTAATTCAGATTACTACTCTAAATCCATTTAATAACTACAAATGAATGCAACAAAAACCGCATTTTATTCACTGCATCGATTCTTTGCCCATTCACCTTCACAAAAGTAATGCACCATTGAGACGTTGCAATTTCTTATTTGCATTCGTCATTAGCGCATGGTACTTCGCAGTACAGTTCTATCTTGACCTAAATACCGTTTCAGGGATCAACAAGACAAGTTTGAAACATTGACATTGGTTGTGTGCAGGAAGTAATTGTTGAGTGTGATGCGATGATTAAATTGTTATTTTTATCATTTATTTCTTATTCTATGAATTTTTTTTTGCAATTCTTTCATGAACGAATTTATTTTATGAATGAAATTATACAATTTTCATTCTGTAATCCCTACACGAATCGTAAGTAATTTTACGGTGATTTGTGCGGAACGTGGCCTTTATTTGTCACAAGCAGTACCAAATGCTGTTCAATATACGCTCAGGTTAATGGTCAGAATATGCTCGGTTTACACCCCANATCTCATTCTCACAGAAGGTCCTTTCAGTTATACTCAAGTTTCTCATCACACTCGTCACGGAAGCAGTCAACTCAGAGGGTACAGCTTACGGAAGAATATTACGAAATCAGTGTTGATTAGCTATTCAACAAACTTTTTTTTTTAAATTTTATCGAGAACAATCAGCAGCATTATGATTATGAACTGTTATTCGGGATGTTTTTGATGGTTGGGTCAATGATGGAAAAACAATGTTCAAGTAAAGGTCATAATGGCTTGGAATGATAGGGCATTGCATCGTTGCAGGTGATATGCATCAGTTGTGAAAAAGGACTTGCTCCGATCGAGACGTGATAATAATCGCTTTCATTTGTTGGTGAAAAGGGGTCAACGCAGTTGTCGTCGTTCACATCGATGATAGCGTTCGATTCTTCACAATAGCAGACAGTAGTTCAGAGACGTGCTATGTTTACGTTGTGAATGATTGATCACAGCAAAAATCTTTATTTCTTGATTGATCACCAAATCACCCGACAAAATTTTTAGGCAAATAAAGTTAAAATATTCCGTCTGAATATCAAGACAGGATCGAATACAACTGCGAAGAAATCATCATCCTTCCCAAAATGTAATGATATGACAGTGAAAAATAATGATAGATAACTGATAAACGGATATGTGATGCGAATAGATCAAATGGAGTAGCTCGTTTAGACATATGTACATAAGTGTTGAAACAAATCAAGCTTTGGTCTCAGATGCTTGTTTGATTTCGCCATCAGGATCCAACACGAAATGCGTTCCATCATGAATATCCACATCACAAATCTTCTTCTTACTCACCGCCTTCACATCGAATGCATCGTGCTTCGGGTTCCCTGCAGGCAAATCCGTTCAACTGATTTCAACGAACAACAAACACCTTTCTAACGGTGAGATTCTGAACAAAATAATCAGATGAGCAAACGCACTGAAATTCAGTTGCACTCACCTGCGGGTGTTGTTTTGATAAAAACACTGACATTATGAGCCGTGCGAATTTTTTTGAGATGTTGAACTTGAATCATAGCAGTGATCATATCGAGTACAGTGCATGCTATGGGAAATGTTATCGGTTTTACGGATCCGTCTGAATGATAGACGGAACAATAGAGAACGATCTCATCTTTACCCTGAAACCATGTCTATCCCTAGAATTAGACCATCAAGCAATATAAAAGCCGATCTCTTTTCAACAACAATCTCTTCAGCAACACATACGGGTAGTTCTTCGGGTAATGCTTCTGGTGCATTCTCAATGAGTTTTTCGCACGCTTTTCGCATATGTGGAACACGTTCAGCCACTTTTGCAATTTCACTTCCTGTTAATCGATTCGCACACAAAAATATTGGACAATACGGTAACTCGTCTGAAAATTCAATCCTCTTATAAAACACAGCCATGCGCGTTGAACATCGAGAAATCAACCTGGGGGGATCATCATATGCGTCAATGAGTCATACTGAAGGATAAGTATAGCCTGGTGATGAGTTTTGAGGTAATTTGCACATCCATCCAGATGTTCTCAAAGTTTTCGAATATGAAGCCAACTGACTGACGTGCTGCAAGAGCTGCATTGATCTTATTGATAAGACAATCGAAGCAGAGTCGATGACAACAATCGTTTAATGTCATTCGAGCTGCGTTCACACATCCAAATGTACCTGCAGACGACTCTCAGCATAATCATCGTCAGATCTCAGTTAGGCCCTGCCATTGAGATAACATCGGCAGTTCATATACCACAACGTTGAAAACAACAACAATTGATCCGTTAAGGTGATTGATCATATTTAATTAATCGAGTGACTTATTGAAACAAGTTATGACCGACTGTAAAATGAATGATCAATTAATCAGTAATTAATTTCATATCAACCAATTCAATGAGAATATCCAACAAATCAACTGATTCAATACTCCATCAATATTCATAATTGTTTCGAACCTTTACGTCCATCACACCGTTGTCTTTCTTCCAATTGTAACATTGATGGTAATTTTGGACCTAATTTCAGCTTTTGGTGACTGTCATCACAACCCTAAAACAACTCCGAAATTCTCCGTAGTGTCGAAACCATCGATCGCATTGACAATAAAACGTGCACGTCTTATTGTTAACTTATCAGAGCTCTGTGTCACCGCAATTCCCAGTGATTGTTGGCGTGTCGCATGGAATAGCAACTAACCTCATCAGCCTCGTCAATGACGACGTTAACACGACGTATGTGAGTACAAAACGGTGCTGGACAAAACTGTGACGCCGTGCAATGTGTCATGCACTCTCGGCAGAATGCATGAGCGCATGATAATGTCTGCATATCGACCACTTCTTTCTTTGCCAAGCATATCGCACACACAACCATCCTTTATCTGCTTCTAATATCGAAATACCCTCTCCATTCTATTCCACTCACAATCAGTCAAAAATCTGCACGATAGGCAAAATATGGAATGCAAACAAAATTTACTAATTATGCTAAATGAGTTCAAAATATAATGGTATAATCCTNAAAAAAAAAACGGAAAACAATTAAGGACAGCAACAATGCAGAAGTAACGATCATAATTATCAAACAAATAATATCACACATATAAGTTACTTACTCACTTCTTATTACACACATCAACAAACTACTATAACCGCTTCCCCGAATTACAGCAATCTGAAACGATGAAAACACTAGCGACCAACAGTAACACGCCAGATGAAGTAAATGAAACAATTGAATCTCCACAGAAATAAACTCTTTCGATGACTGACACAAAATTAGTACTGTGCAAAGCAATTAAATGATGAGATAATTGCGCACTATTTAAAAGAGTTATTGATCGATGAATTTACCAAAAAGCCAACCGTTCCAGATTTAAAACTCAAATGTGTTTCGTATTTACAGATTATTGATACGAAATCAGTTCAAACCAAGTCACAGAATCTTAAGTCCGTCCAATGAAAGAATCGTTAAACAAGTTCAACGTAAAACAGTAATAAAACTGATAATGAATAATGTAATAATAATTACAATAACGATAACAATGCATAATAACATTAACAAGAATGAATAATGTGGCACACCATATAAGTTTCAAATTATATTGCCTCTAAGCGGCTAAGCTCCACTGAGTGGAAGGCCGAAGAGAATGAGGGATAGATTAGTTGCATAACCTCATGAGGCGTTACGCACAAATAATTCATACTTTCGCTCGAAATTGGAAAAAATTGGAATTTCCTCCTTGTAAGTGGGTTTGATTCTGGCCAATAAAAATGCGAACTATAAATATTTGCCGACAGTGAGTTAGAGCATGGGAGAGCAAAAGGGATGATGAAACTAACAATAATGAGGCAGTTTCTAACGGATTCTGATTGGCTTATACGACTCTTCGTACTTCGAAGAAACGTTTCAAATAGAAGATCTGGCCAACGGTCATCGAGACGAGCACTAATGCCTCGAATACAGCCCATAAAACCACTCGAGAGTTGGTGTTCTCATTTACTGAAAACAAAGACTTTCAATGTAATCGAAGTAAAGCGTTGAACAGAAATGTTCTCTCTTGAACGTGCACTCATTTTACACATATGCAATGACCTGCCGTCAACCCTTTCTTGGAATCAGAACAAACGAAACAAACGACAAGCAAACGAACTTGATCTATGTACTCTTTCACGGACTTCCATATATTCTTGCTCATGCTTCACGGATGTCAGCGCTGTTGACAGCTCACGTATCATTTCCTCAAGCTTCTTGCCTTCTTCTGAAATTAACATTCGCATCACCTCATAGGTCGAGTGCATATTGCGATTTAATATCCAGATACAGGAACAGCAATCTCTTTCGGAATAATAAGATTTTCGAGAACTTTAGCATTACGTCCACTTTGTTGTGCACAACTTCAGGGGTTCATGCTTTCTCAATTGCCCGGGAAAGTGCTGAACGAGCAATCAAACTCACCAGCTGCATCTTGCGCACCACCAACATCTTGTCCCGGCTCAGCAACTTGCATGCTGAACATCACCACTTTGGGAGTCATCGTGGACATTTGATTACTGAAGCAATACGTATAATCACCATCCATATGCGCTGCAAACGTGTATTTACCTGAACTTTCACGTTCGCCTTTGTAGATTTCTTTCGCATCTGGTCCTGTGATCTAAGAAATACGACATAGTTAACAACAGGTTTCGAGGAAACAAACTAAAGAAACAATCTAATATTACAGTGATTTTACCGATAATATGAATTCCAATCCGAACTGTAAGTCATACCTTAACATCAATATCCAAAAATCCTCCTTCTGCCACCTCAAACATTAAACCCATCTTTGTACCGGATGTGACACGATCGAAAAAGCATTGCTCTTCATTCGCATCAATATGAATGAAATATGCACACGTGAACGAAGCGATCCATGAAAACAATATCGATATGGAACACAATAAGCGCATATCGATGCTTCTTTACTTCTGTTCACCCTGCAACTTAACCAGCTTGATACTAAAACATTCTAATCAGTAATTACGATGCACGAGATCATCTCTAATCTGCTTCATTCGCGTAAACCAATCAATTTCAACACGAAGTCTATCGACAAATAACGGTAATACATGAAACATTCACAATAAAACACATCACCCCCAAATTGTACGAAGCTCAGGGAAAAATAATATGCAATTGCTTGTTCAACCAAGCCAGAATTTCTTGTAACAGATGACGTGTATAGCACGAAGGGAAAATGACAGTTCGCCAAGAAGAGAGCGACAATCGCCAATTGACGGAATTGGGATTTCCATCTGATATATGTTCAGAAACCTGAATTTCTTACCCACTTAACGGTAACGAATTCAGGCAATTCATGTATCATTTTGTAACGCAGATCTAGGAGAATGAAACTTGTCTGACAGAGCTGCCAGCAAGCAAGATATTTTCCAGAATTTCGATTTCGCGTTAAGTGTAAGAATTCAACAAATAATTTGGATTGGTACCCACCCGACAGGGAAAATTTGCAATCATAATTTATAACACTTTCTAGCTAATAGTAAGATCTAGTAATACAGAAATCTCCTTTAAATATTTTCGGCAATTGGTATGTGACGAGAGTTATGATGCTTCGCGTGACCAATGGTGATCCTCAATACTCACAATTGGCATATCTACAGAATTAATTGAAAAACTCCCGGCCTCAAAAGAAAAACTAGGAAGAAAGGAAGAATATAAGACCAATGATACCAAAAAAACGTATTGAGACGGGGCAAAACATCGAAGTAAAACATTTGAAAATTTCACTTTTTCATCATCTTCCTATCGCACATTTCAAACTAGGAATAATGATGAAAAATGTGAAATTTACGGTTGGATATGACGGACGCATGATGTATAACCTCAAAATGTTCCTCTGTGACGTTCCAGTATGAATAAAGGGACAAAGAAAGTCAAGATGCAAGAAAATTTACCAACCGAAAATACAAAACTACCAATATTTTTGAATCGACAAACATTTTATTCACTTCAGTCGAGCGAGATATCTGTCGTAAGTAAAACTGAGATTCTCCTTTGTTAAGAGTTTTATCATATTGAAAAACTTAATTATCGAACTGAATGGAAATTTTACCGTTGAAGTTTTTCCTTCCAACTTACATTCCACATTTAGTCTGTATAATTTTCATTACGCATCTAAATTCACTCCTCAGTTATTGAGTGTTGTTTTATTACCGCTGTAACTACCTTGTATTGTACTGCTGTTATTTGTGATTACTTATTGCCACAACTATAGTCATTGATGAAGCGTTTGTGTGGAAAGAGTGGAACTGTATAATATTATGCTTCATTATTGTAACTGTATATTGTTACTGCCGTTAATGAGATGATTCTTACCAAAATAAATGCTCATAAATCTCGAACGTTGTGACATTTCGTCAAGCCCTTCACCCCGATGCTGATGTAGCCACTGGCAACACACGGAAAGAAACATTTATACAGCTGTCGCGCCACGTAGCCCTCATACTTTGAAATTTCCCCCACTCTCAAAGTGGCATGACCTCAATCTCAGCTTGAGACTTCTCAACGTTAAGCCCCACTCTATCGATGCAAAAGATATCCTGGTGGTTTGCGCGGGCCTCAACAAACCCAAATGTTCTGTCTCACTTCTGAAACGCCGCCAAACCACTGCAAGCAGTACCACCCTTCATTATCCGTGGCGCGACTGTAATGAACTTGAGCAACAGTGACGGTGACGATAAACACACTTGCAACAGCCAAACATCAAATAGCATCATAGGTACAATAATGAACAATGACAGCATGAATATAGCAACACAGGTAGATAGGTTCAATAACATAGGCACAACAATACACTAACATAGGTAAGCATCATCAGTACAATAATGAAGCACGGAAACACAAAATGGACTGAAACTACAACAAAACACGAAGATAACGACATAAATATTCTTCTTTGTTAAATCACTTCATTGATTAAATCAATGGCGCAGTCCAAAACCGAATAACATGAACAGATTCTGGAAATTTACTGTGGAGCTGGTTTCTGAAAGGCATTAAACAAAACCCGAACGGCTCTACAAACGCACCGACTGTATTTGTTCCCGTATGGGAGAAGTTCTTGCTGCTATACAAAGCTACTTAAGGTTTCCATTTAGCCACCATAGTTTACATATTTCTTATCTCGGTTCTCTTATCTCTAGCAAGCTTCAATGAAATGGATATTCTAGAAGAGCCCCGCTCTCAATCTTCACGAATGAACAAACATTCGAGCCCGACTTATTTCAGGCCTGAACAAACACGTGCTAGCTCCATGAGAGGAGCGTGACCCTCTGCATTTGCTACACCGCAGTCATTCAGCTCAACTTCCATCTGAGATAAAGCCCTAGAAATCGTGCAATTATTAAAGGCAAAATCGAAGACCTCAAATTTGTTGATAATTGAACATCATTTCTTTAACGGACTGATGAACCCACAATATTTCTGATCCTATTTGAATGGATATCTTGGAGCTGTCAAGTACCTTAGCAACATTAACGATGGATAGTAACCACACTGGCAAGGGAAGTAAGGAAACATCAGAGAATTGTATGAATGCCATCATGAAGCCAGCTAATAGATAAGCTTCGGCGAGTAACCACAAACACCTGAGAGATTTCTCCTTATAGCGCATTTAAAAACATTGAAACT